TGTGTGTGTGTGTGTGTGTGTGTGTGTGTGTGTGTGTGTGTGTGTGTGTGTGTGTGTGTGTGTGTGTGTGTGTGAGATAGAGAGAGAGAGAGTGTGTGTGTGTGTGTACATGTACACTTATGTCTCTTTCTGTGTTTCAGTTTGCAGCTGTGCCGCTGCGGGGTTTTTTCTGTGGTGTGATGGAGGTGTGCTTGTTTAGCACTATAACGTGCACTTTTATGTAGTTTTAAAAATAGTTCATATTCATTGTGAAGCTCAAAGCGCTGTATGTAGTTAGGACAGACACAAAGTCTCTAAATTTCCAATAGGAGTGGGCTTGTGTAAGCATCTTCTCAAGTTACATCCACTAAGTGTCAACGGCATATCCTGGTGAGAGTGTACCTGCTCTATACTCGTATACGTACTCGTGCCTATATCTAAAATCACATCCACTAAGCAAAGCCAGCAACATATTCTGGTGAAAATGTACATACAACCTACTCGCATATATCCTCATACCTACAGCCGCTCAGATATTGATATGCCTCTATTCAGATGTATACACAACATGTGCGTTATTACTCAATTTCAGGTCATAACATACGCGATCATGAAGTTGAAGAGAACATCCCGTAAATACTTGACGTCTTTGTGTCCGTTTTTGATAAAAAGAGACAGTAGATCATCCCCCTGTGTCGCAAATTCGTCACAATTGTGAGTAAAGTGGTATATGGAAGACGCGAGTTAGCAAGTATGATTTACTAGAAATCGCAATAAAGACTCTAAAGGTAATGAACGGAGCATATGTAGTAAATGGTAGACAGGAAAAGTTTGCTTCGGTATTATGCACGCTAGTACACTCCTGCTTCACAATCAGCCCTATGCTTAGGTCTTAATAGATAGAGCAACCGACACATCGACACACTATTCCAAATACAACTGTGTTATATAGAGTATATTTGAATTATATCTATAGATATATGAAAGAACATCTACTATAAAATAATTCAAACATATCTGTAAATATTTTATTGGCAATCAACTATAAAAGAACATCTACTTATATCTATTTTTAACATATATGTATATGTATAGAATATAATGAGATAAAAGAGGATATAATACAAACACATTTGTATATATATAGAAGACCATCTACCAATCTATGTACATACCAATTCAACTTTCAATACTGCATAATATCACAACTGTGCACTCACCCCAAATGTCGACTGCAGACCTCGCCTGCCAAAGTATCATAGGTCTCTACACAAGCTCTCTCACTCAGCACATCAAAAAACGTACCTCATTCTGTATATAATTATAACTGTACAAATATATATAGATCTTACTCTGTATATAATTTTAACTGTACAAATATAAACACATATACTATATATAGATATTATTCTGTCTACAATTAAAACACATATACTATATATAGATCTTATTCTGTTTAGTTGTAACTGTACAAATATAAACAAATACTATATATAGATCTTTTTCTGTATAAAATTATAACTGTACAAATATAAACACATATACTATATATAAATAGCTACACACATGTACCACCACATACACACACGCACGCGCGCGGCATCTACATACGTTGTCGCCCGTTTCCACTCGCTCCAACCGTCGGCCTATGATCTCGCCCGCAAACGTATCGAGTGCCTTTACACACGCGGCTATCTCTCTTTCACACGGCAAGCCCAAGAAGCATGCAACCTTCCAAAGCTGTTTGGTATTGGGTGCACGTATCAGTATTTGTTTGATTTATACCTTCATGTAGTGTGCGCTGAAGTGAGAAGATATATATAGATATGGATATAGATTTAAAACTACATAGATATATATATATATATATATATATATGTTTGTGTGTGTGTGTGTAGTCAAGGCGGATACTATGTCCCTGCGCATTGTCTTTGTGTATGATCGACTGCGTCTGCGAATATGTGCATTACCATCAATTGGTACATGGGTTTTGAAAGCACCGCGTATAGAGATGTATAGATATGAATAGCTGAAAATAGCTGAAAAGAGCTAAAAGTAGCCAAATCTAGCTGCCACAATAGCTAAAAACATATCTGAAAGCTATGACGCAAGTACCGAACATACCCACACCGGAAGTGGGGCACGGGCGGACACTCTGTCAAAGGCCAGAAGAAGCGGAGACTGGAGGTTAGTCATCGTACATAACCAGCTGGGTATTCACACAGTACAGACATCCAGAAAACGTGAACGTGAACGTATGGAACTGTTTGTAAGTTAGTATCAACTGTACGTGAGTATGAACGTATGCAGCCCTGCCGTATGTACATCGATACTATCTCTGGTAGTAGATGGTAACTGTATTGCGCGTCACGTCATTGTCAGTACATCGGGTGGTTGACCGCCTGAACATCTGTGTTTCAGTGTTTTCTGAGATCGTATCGCAGGTATTTAGGCGCTCGCTCGCGGACACGACATTTTCGCGTAATTCACACCTCATCTGATACGCACCACTGCACATACGCTGTTGTCATGGCAACGCAGAGACAGCACGCTCCACAAATGATCTGATGGTAAGGTTACTTGCGATAGCTTTCATGCCATATCGGCGAAGGCAGTAGTGAATTACAATAGGTACCTATAGTCCAAAACGTTACACATCACACCCTGAACATAACGCATTAACCACGATCGACATAGGCGTTCTATAAAATATCATTCCATAGCCTTGCTGCAATGCAGGGGGGCATGGCAGACCTATGGCTGCGTTTAACAAACACGCCCGACATATGTATATCATACAGTAGTACATACAGACATACAGTAGTATGTGTATCATACAGTAGTACATACAGACATACAGTAGCATGTGTATCATACAGCTGTACATACAAACATACAGTAGTATGTGTACCATATAGTAGTAAATACAGACATACAGTAGTATGTGTATCATACAAGAGTACATACAGACATACAGTAGTATGTGTATCATACAGTAGTACATACAATACAGACATGCAGTAGTATGTGTATCGTACAGTAGTATGTGTATAATACAGTAGCACTTGTTTCAGATTATACCATACACCGGTTAATGCAGTCCATGTCACGTCAGAGTACTTCACTTACAACAGCTTGCATGCTCGATCGAAAGAGGCTGCGAAGGCGACGGGGGTGTCCGTGAGCAGGCTGCCCATGCTGTGTGTATAATGGAACGGAATGAACGTGAGGTACGATACTGATTTGTGTATTAGTATTCTCGCGATAGTGCATGTACGTATTGAAACTGTAGTTATGAATGTATCAAAACATGTATGTAGTAGTACATGTAGTTGAATACGTGTGTGTCTGTGTACGCATTGATACATGTTGTTTTTTATGTATGTTACATATTGATAGTGTAGTTATATATGTATGTATACGTGTAGGTATTTATACATGTAGTTATGAATATATGTATATCTGTACGTATTATTGCATGTAGTTGTATATGTATATGTTGGTGTATGCATTAATACTTGTAGTTATATATGCAAGTATATGTGTACGTAGTGATGGATGGCGACTGTGTTTAGTGGAGGCACGCTCGTGACAACAACGTGTATGTGTATAGAAGAAAAGGTGCGACACATGTACACCATACTACGTGGCATGTACAAGTGTACACATTAAGCCAAAGTTTAGACAATAAATACAGTCAGTGTGTATTTACTGATAATTAAACTCTATATTAAAAAAGACTGAAAGCAAGGTATCCCAAGCCGGACTGAACTATTCGTTTCTCACTGCGATCAGCGTGTGCACCAGATAGGCCATTTACAACAATAGCGCCCCTAAGCTCAGATCAGTGAGAACTGGCCTACATTACAACCGTACTATCACTCTGCTTGGCTATAATAGGGTTTAGGGTTTAGGGTTTAGGGAAACCCTTGGCTGGCAGTAGGTCACAGACAACCATAGGAGCGATACAAACAAACATATGCAAAGCAAACCTTTCGCCGAACGCAATGGCTGTGATAGAGTCCAGGGTGTAGCACAGCATCAGCTGTTGAATATCCAGAGTCGCCTGAGCCTCGGCACATTTGCTCAGTCTGGCGGCAACCTGCACGTGTGGTGGATCCGCAGTTGTGAGGGGAAAAGGTGTTTATATATATATATATATATATATTCGTATAACTTCGTATAATGTATGCTATACGAAGTTATTACGATGA